CGCTTGTTTCCCGCCGACTACCTTCGCCTTCACATTAAAGGTCTTGAGCCACAAGCCGAAGTGTGGGGGAATATGGAGGAAGGCCTCACACACGATAATGAATGCCGAGACGTGAAGAAAGGAGTCCGGAGCTAGATCGTGAAAATCTAGCCCGTAATAGAACATGATCCCTCAAACGAAGGGATGAAGAGCGAACCCTAGCCCTCGGAGGAAGTGGGAGATCAATATGACCCTCTCGCTGGATCTGGGAGTAGGAATAACCTGCCCTTGAGAAGGAAGCCTGTGGGGGATTTCCGCGGTCAGGTATCTTGCCTCCCGGAGCTTCGCGATATCCTCCTCTGTGACAGAGGAAGCCACCCACCGGCCTTGAGGGCTGGGTCCGGACATGACTGGGAAGCACGAAGCGATTAAATTGAACCTTGGGTGCTGGAACTTGAGGTGGGAGAGGTTGAGGAAAGGGTTGGCGTAAAGGAGAAAAGACTGGTGTTAGCCCCTTTATAAAGGCGATGAATATCAAACGCCCCCTCCTAGGCCTTAAAGCCTGCCTATTCCCAAGGAATCATGCCAACAGAACGGTTGGGTTACCTCGCCCGTATTGATGAGAATCCCACAATAAGAGGACACGCTCTCTGCTTTGACAAGACGTGCCAATGAAACCGCCTCTTGAAATATGGAGCGACAGGCTAAAAAACAGTTCAAAATAATGGCCGGGCGGCGACGTGATGTCACGCTACAAAAAGTTGTCAGCGGATTGACCTCGTGAAATATTATACTCTCTGCGGTTGTGTGTGGAATTTATTTTGCAGAGCCGGACATGATTCTTGTGTTCAAAGACTATTTTGGAGTATTCGTAGAAGGAACCCGCCTTGCAATGCCGAAGCCAATTCGCGCGCCAGACACCTCGTCATTGAAGCCTAGTTCAGGGGCTACTGAGAGAGTCCTGGATTAAGGGGTCCTCGGATGGCCGAACTATGTAGCGTGGGCCGGACTGATGGGCTGTGAAGATACAAGACCGAAGACTCTCACCTGTGTCCGGATGGGACTCTCCTTGGCGTGGAAGGCAAGCTTGGCGCCCGGATATGAAGATTCCTTTCTCTATAACCGACTTTGTACAACCCTAGTCCCCTCCGGTGTCTATATAAACCGGAGGGCTTAGTTCGTAGAGCCAATCATAATCATACATGCTAGACTTCTAGGGTTTTAGCCATTATGATCTTGTGGTAGATCAACTCTTGTAATACTCATATTCATCAAGATCAATCAAGCAGGAAGTAGGGTATTACCTCTATAGAGAGGGCCCGAACCTGGGTAAACATCGTGCCCCCCGCCTCCTGTTACCATCAACCTTAGACGCACAGTTCGGGATCCCCTACCCGTGATCCGCCGGTTTTGACACCGACAGTAACACCTCTTCTCTCTGTTGTAATCTCTACTTAAACATGGTGCTCAACACTATATATTATTATCCAATGATATGTGGCTATCCTATGATGTTTGAGTAGATCCATTTTGTCCCATGTGTTGATTGATGATCGTGATTGGTTTGAGTTGTATGTTTTATTTTGGTGCTGTCCTATGGTGCCCTCCGTGTCGCGCAAGCGTGAGGGATCTCCGCTGTAGGTTGTTGCAATACATTCGTAATTCTCTTATAATGGGTTGCGTGAGTGATTGAAACACAAACCTGAGTAATTGGGTTGTTGCGTAATGCTATGGTTGGGTTTTAACTTAATGATCTTTAGTAGTTGCGGATGCATGCTAGAGTTTCGATCATAAATGCATATGATCCAAGTAGAGAAAGTATGTTAGCTCATGCCTCTCCCTCATATAAAATTGCAATAATGATTACCGGTCTAGTTATCGATTGCCTAGGGACAAATAACTATCTTGTGACAAAAAGCTCTCTACTAAAACTAACTTAATTGTTTCTTTATCTAAACAGCCTCTAACTTTTATTTACGTGTTCTTTATTATCTTGCAAACCTATCCCTTTACACCTACAAAGTACTTCTAGTTTCATACTTTTTTTTATGTAAAGCGAACATTAAGCATGCATAGAGTTGTATCAGTGGTCGATGGAACTTGAAGGGGATATAGATTCTATCATTAGCTCCTTGTAGGCTTCGACACTCTTACTTATCGATAAAGGCTACAAACGATCCTCTACACTTGTGGGTTATCATCCAACTCCTGGTACTCGACATAGGTGCTGAAACTTGAACATTTTCACACAAAAACCGCGCTCTCCAGCGCCAATCTTCAAGTGTCGTCCTGTTCAGACCACCATATTCATGTTATGACTTATGAAGAGCAAAATTCTAGCCGCCTTCCTCCCGACCGAGACGTCTCATCCCCATCCCTTCCAGCATGCGGTGGCAACGATGCCTATAGTGCAAGAACACTAAAGAATGGCCACACTGACGATTATCCTCATCAGAGATGATGGCATCAATGGTCCGATCCACAACATCGATGGTAGGGGCTTCTATGGGTATATGCATCTACCTGCAGTGGTTGTGGAAATTTGGAGGGAGGGGCACCGAGGTGATCATTTTTCCCCATGTCATATATGGTTCTTAGGAGCCACCAGTGATTGCAAACCCTCTTCACATACTCTAAATTTAAGATGGGTACAAAAGTTGTCTAGGATATGGGTTTGTAGTTTGACTTACTTATAGGAAAGGAAATTATTCATATCCATCTTATGTCAAGTGTAACCCGAAAGCATGAATTAATTATTACATGGTAGGGAATTTTAGAGCTTGCTACACACATATGAATTTTTGCAGAATATAGTAAGATCTCATGTATATGGTGAAAGGATTATGGAAGAAATTATATATGTCTATATAATATTGGTAGGAATATGATCATTTAGGGGTTCACCATGTATGAGATATGTACAAATCCATGTGTGGTTGTTACATCGCAAATATTTTTTCCCTAACATAATATACTGTGATTATATTTCTTTCTATGCACTTTATATATACATGAATTTTTGTCTTACAAATTGAAAGTTGTAACTAATTAACTAAAAGATGGGATTACACGACCTGCCCATATTTGTAACTTTCCTTTATTCCAAAGCCAAAGAAAAGTTCAAGGCTTTTTGATAGTGGGCCCATTTAGAAACATGCCAAGATTGTCTGGCAGGCACCCTACACGTAGTGCTTTCACTAACCATATGGTTCTTTTCCCTAGTACTTTCATATCCAATCTCCTTTTAGAGCAAGGTTAATAGTATAGTCAACAACTGGCTATATGAAGTTGCCACATCATTTACAACCAACCTAATTAATAGTCCACTTATACAATAGTTAATCATAATAGTTGTCTGTTGTGCCCTTAATATGTGACCCACATTTCTCTCTCACAGAAGATGTTGGGCTACAACCTAAAACAGCCCGATTCTCTTCTCTCTCCAGCTAAGCAAACAACCGTGTTCTTCATAACCGAACAAGTAGCTGTTTGGATTAGGGTTTTCTCATGCCGCTGCCGCCGTCGCCAATTTAGGTCCCCTTGCCTCTGGCTGCCATCTTGGCGCTGAGAGGTGGGGGCGACCTCGGTTCTTCAAGATCTTCATGTTCTTCGTCAACGTCTAGTGATCATCATATTGCCGTGAGAATAAATTTTCTCTCGTTCTTTTGGCAGTGCCCTGAAGTTAGAGAGTTTTCTGTCCTATCAGATCCGATTATTTGGATCTGATGAGTTTATGTTGTTACGTCAAGCTTTTTTTGTTGCTTTGGTTCTTTGTGTAGTTGAGATCTATCGACACCATGGTGAAGATATAGTGATTCGATGACCTGCACTTTTAAGGAATCATCCCCATCACAAGTACGTTCATCGATCAAGTCTTCCCATATTTTTGGATGGCCGACACAAGGCACTCTCAAAAACCATTATTGATAATGTTCATGTGGGTGAAAGAGTGATAACATCGTTGCTCCAGTCCAATTGCAACCTCTTTACCAAAGTCTTTGGAGTATTTCTTCGAGCAGAGATTGGTACCACGAAAAAGGTGTTTTCAAGAGATTTCATTATAATTCTTGGTCATAAGACTTTGACTTTTTCTTGGATATTAGGTCCAAGTCAGTATACCTGTAATTGGTATGCGTATGAATAAAGTTACAGGTGTTTCTAAAAAAAACCCTGAGGTGATATCTCTTATAACAATATTTTAAATAGCGGGCTATGACATATAGCGGCAACCCTTAAAAACAGCTATAGCTGGGCTATAGCGGGCTATAGCGAGGCTATAGCGGCAAATTATATATGAAATCATTTAGCGGCAACATGCTCAAACAACTATAGCGGAGCTATAGCGGGGCTATAGCCGGCTATTTGAAACTATGCTTATAAACAGCCTATTATACTTTCTTTTTTATTATGTATATTAAATTCTTAGTACGTGAGACATTCTCTCTCTTTTCTTTAGAAAGATTCTTTCCCTGTCACAATATATTAGCGGCACGTTTTTAATTTGGAACTTAAGAGACAGTTGAGTTTTTGGAGGTGGCTGTTGCACAAGTGATAGCCAGCGAAGCATATACGTCCAGTTAAATCGATAGGATTCAGGAGTATATAGTACAGGACGTTTTCGCAGTTCAATTTGAACTGCTAGAATGTCTTATATTTAGTCTCATATTTGATTACTGTGGGAGTATTTGTTTTTGAAACAAGAAATCTCACATGGAATATGCACGATTTGAATCACTTGAGGTTGAGGAATCCTCTATCAAGAAACTCGAAATCAATCAGCGAACTAGATCAAAGATTAAACAACAGAAGGACTGACCAAATCTCCTGTAAATGTAAACCAACATGTCTTCCTGGCTAAGGAATAATACCATCAGCCACACTCAACTAGCCATAAGAAGAATCTGTGAGAAGAACAGATCAATCTTATCCAACACACAAGAGTTCGAAACAAACAGTTCATTTGACATGAACCGCACAGCAGACATTGGCACACCGAAACAAACTGCTAGCAGCAGATCCGATCATAGCCTGAGAGATAGGTCCACCTCGCCGGCGACGTGCTCGAAGGCGCCGTAGGCGTACTCTGACGGGGCGCTGCCGCGCTTGCGCGCCATGCCAGCAAGCATCGGAGGAGCGGCCTTGAGCGCCTCCGTTTTCCTCGCCCTCCTATCCGCCGATAAGAAGTCGCTGTCGCCCGCGTACCCGCCCGGCCTTGCGTCCTGCGCCGCGGCAGGTGCGCCGCCCGCCCCATGCGCGCGCGTGCTGGCGGCGATCTCCCGCCGGCGCTTGGCGACGCTGCGCTCGTGCTTGTGCGCGTTCTGGTGGCCGCCGAGCGCCTGCGAGCTGCGGAACTTGCGGTCGCAGTAGACGCAGAGGAAGAAGCCGCCCTGCTCCGCCTCCGCCTGCGCCGCCCAGGTCATGCGGAGGGTGAGCTCAAGGCTGAGCTCCTGCTCGTCCTGCTCCCAGTTTAGCTGTTCCATTGAAGGCACAGAAACCTACAGTAAGTGACTACGTGTTATGCTTCTGTGTCGCGCGTGAGAGAAAGAGAGCCTATGATTTGCGAGTGAAACTGTGGTGCTAAGCAAAGGAAATTATATACCCCACGTGCCACACCTAACGGTTACTGTTCCTCGCGATCAGGTTAGTGACCGCAGCCTGTGTTGGTGTGGACGTACGTCGCGCACGTTTCCCCGCCATTTGCTACATCTGGGCGACGGAAGAGCACCTGGCCGAAGCGGACCAAATATTTCCGGAGTATAATAATACGTACAACAGCAGAGAGATTAGGGAGACTTGTGTGGCCGACGCCGGGCAACCGGGACGAAGGCGACAAAGCTAGGCCAAGCGGCGGTGGATAACGCAGAAGAATACAAGGCGATGGGGCTTGGAAACGGGCAAGGCGTATTGTTTGTAGGGAATTGTACTGTATCTGTATACGTTGTATATATAAATCGTACACAGCCAAGTTAAACATAGGGTTTAGGGTTTACGTGGGTGGTTGACATCCAGCCTCATGTCTCAGTATATAGATGTCACAATACAGTTATATACGTATACAAATACGTGTACATATACAATATACTAGACCCTATATTTTACAAAAGGTGTTGGAAATATTAGCACTTTTCCGATTAGACTAATCCACGAGTAAGCAGTAAGCATGACAATTGCGGTATGCATCTCATACCGATACGTAAGCATACTAACACGTACAGTACATAGAACCGACCCATCTATGACCAGAACATATGCAACTAGCATATACGAGTAAATGATGGATGAACAGATCATACCCTCCGGTTCGCCGGGCCAATGCTGCGGCGGCAGCAGCAGCCTCGGCGTCGTCCGTGGCCATCTTCTTGGCGGCGGCGGCGTCGACCATGGTGTCGATGCAGGGGAAGTAGTGGAAGCAGAGGCGGACGAAGATGCGGACGGACCGGGAGCAGTCGCGTCGAGACGCTCCCCATAAACCTTATTGCCGTTCTCCCAGGCAGGATCTCGAAAGGCAGGGTTCCGGAGGCACCCGCTCTCCCGACCAACCATGCACGCGGTCGTGGGATGGGATCGCCGGAGGGAGCTCAGAGTGAGGAACAGTAAATGACGGCTAGGGTTACGCGAGAGGGAGGGAGTGAACTGAACTAGGTCACTCCACTGGCCACAACCTTTTTATATAGGCCGTCGGGTAGGAAGTCGTGGGCCTGGGCGGAGGCCCACAACCGAGTCGACGCACTCCCGGGAAGGGAGCCGTCGTTCCCTGAGAAGGGTCGCACACCTGCGAACGGTGTTGACGAATCCTGGGAATGCAACCAACCCACGGTCCAACGTCTCGGACAGTGGCACATATGTTAGCGACTCATTAATTAATCCCAGATTAATTAATTCCTTCCTGACCGGCAAATATAAGCTTTGGCTCATTCCCGTGGCGCGCGCGCGTCGTGACGAGGTGAGGCATGGCGAGGCTGGCGGCAACGGAGGAGGAGCGTGCATGTACCACTCCTCTTCCCAAGCTCCCAATGGCAAGTGGTAAAGCAACCCTTATAAAGGGGTCTCAACTCTCCTCAACTAGCAACGTGGTAGTAAGCTTCCCAGCACCTGCCACATCCTACATGGGCCTCAAGATTAATCAAGAATCATTGTTCATATGGTCCTAAAGCCCATCTATGATTCAACAATCCCCCATCAGATCTCGAGGCACATAAGTTTGTCAACTGTTTCAAACAATGTTTGATATATCAGAAATTTTAGTGGAGGCTGTTAAGTTAAACTTCCACCTAGAGCAACATGATTTGACTTCTTTTTTCTTTCGAGAGTACGCTAACAGCGTACCATATTTTTATAGAAGAAGAAGAAAGCATAACTACAAGATGTGTGGCTCAAATGCGGACATTCGGCACACACGGTTACACCAACACCAACACCACCCAATCTACACCCAAGCTAACTCCTCACAAAATGTTGTAGTCCACCAACACCACCTGCCACCTACGACCACTCAGCTACCTCAATTAACGTACAAGTGACAAGCTTCGGAGGAGTTTTTTTGTTGATCTACCTTATTGAAGACTCTTGCATTCCTTTGTTTCCACAAGGCATAGAGAACCGCCATGACTGTGGTGTTAAAACCTCTCCTGTCCGCCCCTAGGAAGCTTCTATGTGCTCGTAACCACCACTCCAAGGTATTGTCAGTTGTTAGTGAGTGAGGGGTGTTAATCTGCAGGGTGTCCCATGTCCTATACTAGACCTCCCGAGCATACGGGCACTGCAAAAGGATGTGATTAGCATTGTCCTCATCCAGCAGGCAAGTGTAACATGCTGAGCTCTCATCCTGAAGCCCATGCCTAGCCCTTCTATCTGACGTCCATATCCTGTACTGCATGTCTGCATTGCCAGCCAAACAAAGAGTTTGCACTTAAGAGGAGCCCAGCTTCACCAAACACACTTTGCTAGGGGCGATTTGGGCCAGCCATTGCAAAGGCTGGTATAGACTGACTTGGCTGAGTATTGTCCAGAAGTGGAGCAAGTCTAGGTAAAGACATCCTGCTCGGTCTCACATCTGTCTACTGTCGCCACCGTGTGGCAGAGATGCATGCATTGCATTTGAGCCATGAAATAGATCTCAATTTGGCAATCCTCCATCCATCTGTTGTTGAGCAGTGCCTGCTGCACCGTTCTAGTATTGATCACCCTCGCGTGGACCGTCACAAGCAGGAGTGGGGCTATGTCAGCTACTACATATCCATGGATCCACCGGTCCCTCCAAAACAATACGTTGTCTCCCATGCCAACTTTGATATGAACCAAACTATCAAACACCTCCCTCGCCGACCTGTCTTCGATCATTGGAAATCCCTGCCAAGGCCTCACTGGCTCCGTACGCTTTAGCCATTCCCACCTGACCCTTAGCGCCAAGGATTGAAGTTGCAAATTCTTCACTCCAAGCCCACCGTGGCACTTAGGTCGACAGATTTTGTCCCATGCGACGAGGCATTGTCCACCGTTTACCTTGTCCTTGCCGGCCCAAAAGACCGACCTCATCCACTAGTTAATCTCCTCAAACACCCAGGCAGGGGTGTCCACAATCATTAGGTGATGGATCGTCCTGGCAGAGTTGATAGATTGCACCAAGATCAACCGGCCGGGTCATTGAATCAGCCCCCTTTGCCATGCGGGGACAGAGTACCTCACTTTATCCAGCATGGGTTGCCACTCCACACGAGTCAAGTTCTTGATAGCAAGCTGTAGGCCAAGGTACCTACATGGGAGTTCTGCTAAGTCACACTGAAGTAGCGCAGCCACCCTTTGCATGTCCTCCAAGTCGCCTCTAATCACTATGGCTGACGACTTCCGATAGTTCACCTTAAGCCCGGATGCTTCACCAAAAGCTTTTAAGGTCTCCTTCACAAAGCTCAAATCCATGACTGTAGGTTTGATAAATAAGGCCACGTCATCAGCATATATCAAGATCCTTTGCATGGCCGTGATCCCATGGAATGAGCTTAGCACACCAGTCGCCATAGCTGGCTGTATGAGTCTTGTCAGAACTTCCATTGAGATGACGAAGAGCAAAGGCGATATAGGATCACCCTGGCGCAGCTCGCACGCGTACCCAAAGCTCTTCCCAGCCACGCCATTGACGATCACCTTGGTGTTGCAGTTTGTAGCAGGATCGCCACCCATGTCATCCATCTCATGCCAAACCCTTTGGCAGTCATGATTTCAAATAGGAAAGGCGATGACAAGGAGTCGAAAGCCGTCGAAATATCAAGTTTCAGGAACACTCCGTGCGATTTGACTTCTTCACAACTGAACAATGGACTATGCCTTGAATTGTCAGTTTGGCGTGCACAAGTTTCGCCTATTGTCAGCTGATATGTGGTTGTCAAAGGCTAAACCCAACGGGCGGAGCTTATTAGTCATACACCGTACCTTCTCATGAGCTTCCTAGAGATTACCCAATCTCATAGACTGTGACCAGCAATATGGCTCACATAGGTGTGTTCCTCCAAAGAATGCTCTGTAGGATAGCATCTTGCTTACGTAAGCTTTGGAACACATTAAGACCAAATTCAACCTGCCTTACATATGTGAGAGTATTGTTGCATCTCCAACGGAGTGGGTTAATTAAGGATATTCTCCTTAGTTGACCGCTGGATTGTTTTCCCAGGTCCTAATTCAAGGGATCTCTGATCACATAGGTTGGGTTACCCCCATGGCAACTTACGTGGGTGTCATACCCATCTCCCTTGATGCATTTTTTATCACAATCCGTGATAGCCCTTTCGTGAAAGGGTCTGCCAGATTTTTGGCAGTCGGGATGTAATCTAATGCTATCACTCTGGAGTTTCTCGACTTTCTGGCAGATTTCAATCTTCTTCTTATGTGCTTTGTGGATTTCAAGTTGTCCTTTGAACTCTTAGCCTTGGAAATCACCATTTGATTGTCACATTTCATAAGGATAGCTGGCACAGGTTTACCAACCATCAGCAAATCCATCAAAAGCTCTCGATGCCATTGTGCTTCGACGCATGATGTGTCTAATGCTCTGAGTTCTTCTTCCATAGTCGATCTCGTTAAGACCATCTGCTTGCAAGACTTCTAGGAAACAGCACCACCAGCGTGTGTGAAGACATATCCACTTGTGACTTTGATCTCATCGGCATCAGATATCCAATTAGAGTCACTATACCCCTCAAGTACCGTCAGGTACCCTGAAATAGTGAATTCCATAGTTCGCAGTACCTTGCAAGTAATGCATCACTCAATCTACAGCATGCCAATGCACATCTCCCGGATTGTGTGACAGCCTGAATTTTGCCTTCTCTCTTTTTCCGGACTTGCCTTCTCTCTCTTTCCGGACTTGGTTTTAATCGTGGTTTTTGCCCTGATTTGAATTGGAGTTTGAATCATTCAAAATGGACTTGGCACTTAGGCATATCCTTGGCTTTCACCCAAGTGACCTATCTTCTTATTTCCTCTGATC